GGGGGGGGGGAAGGGAGGACTTGCCATCTAAACCACTTCACCTGGCAAATTTATCCATGCATGTCTAATGCGCCTCAACTGAAACAGCAGGAAAAATGCACCACTGTTAAAGGCACGTAGTCGGTTTGAAAATCACACTTCTCTGAAATTTTGTTACCTACTATTGTTACAAGAAACACTTAGGATCGTGGGCAGCTGGTGACCCGGCCGTTGCTGGAGGCTAGACCCCGGCCCCTCCCCCTTGTGCCCACAGCCCTGCCCCTCCCCATCTGCCCCCCTTCTGCACCTCCCTCCTGCAGGAGACCAGAGCACCTCCACCGCGGCCCCTGGCCCCAGCGCCGGGTGGCCAGCTATGCAGAATGCTCTGAGAACCACAGGAGGGGGCCTGGCCTGGGAGCGGAGCATGGGCGGGACCACGCTAGGCTGTTTGGGAAGGCAAAGCCTACCCTTGCCTCAGATACCTGCCACTAGGGTGACCAGACAGCAAGTGTGAAAAATCAGGACAGGGGGTGGGGGGTAATAGGAGCCTATATAAGAAAAAGACCCCAAAATTGGGACTGTCCCTATAACATCGGGACATCTGGTCACCCTATCTGCCACCCATGTTTAGGATGTTATAACTGAAAGAGATTAGGAATTTTTTCTCTATTGTTTGTTCTGTGAATTTGATAGCACTCTGTGGGTAAAATCAATTAAACTTTGTTCCTACAAACACTTACACATGTGCTGAACTTTAAGCACATGACTAGTCCCATTGAAGCCAAAACTATAAAACAAAGTTACAGAAACTAATAGCACTGCTGTTGTGTTTAAAGTTCAAGATGCTCACGTTTGTAGGACTGGGGCCCTAGTCATTTTCCCCGTCCTCTGTGTGTTTTTCACACAGCATCAGGATAGAGACACTCATTTTGAAAACAGGAAAATGTGATTGTAAATCCACAAAAATGGGTGGGGTGGGGTGGGGTAGGAATAGTGATCAGGGGCAGGTTTAGTACCTGAAATTATTTTCAACTTTTTTCAGTTGTCAAGATTTCAGGTTGACTGCCCCATTAATAGGTATAGTTCTCATGAAAATATCCAGGTTAGTGGCATATAGTCACTGAACACATTCTGGATCAGAAAAGTCACAAATATACCATTAAAATAGAACTTTTGGTCCAAATGGTTCTAAGGTAACACTCTTCAAAATTACAGTATAGGACCATAGTAGTCTCGATGATTTGAGACTGTACAAAACTTCTGATCTCTAACGATTCCATTGGCTATACAATACAGTTTGATGCAGTTTTTTAAATCTAGGACAAAAATAATTAACAAATTATTTTTCTAAATGTTTAAATTTTTCCAGGGCTAGTGTAGATCCCGTTACCCTTCCATGGATCCCTCTAATAATACGGACTAGTGTGCTTTGAAGGCAGAGTCACATTCTACTGTGTTCCCTCTCCTTTTGGTATATGGTAGCTTGGAGAAATCAGTCAAGGAAATGCTAACTGAACTGCATTTGTAGGTATAAAAAAAGAAATTACTGAAACATATTCAGGAATGCCAAACTACAATTATGTTGAACTGTAACCAATAAAAATCTCTCTAACTAAAACCATAAGCTAGATTTCTCTATGCTCTGTGTCTTGAGAATTGAACAAGTTGTTCCTTTGAAGTCTCTGCAATCAGCCTTGCAGCCTGACTTGCTATTCACTCCCTTAGAGCAGTGGTCCCCAACGCGGTGCCCGCGGGCGCCATGGTGCATTTATGTGCACCTACCTAGTGCCTAGCAGGGGAGAGAAGCCGCGGCACCGCGCCTGACAGGGACAGAGAATTCAGGCTGCGGGCGCGGTGTTCTCTGTTCCCAGCAGGTGCGGGGGCCGCCTAGTGCCCTGCAGGGGAGAGAAGCCGCGACCCCCACGCCTGCCGGGGACAGAGAACTCTGGGGCTGCAGGCACCGCTGTTCTCTGTCTCTGGCAGGCACGGGGCCCGCCTAGTGCCCAGCAGGGGAGAGAAGCCGGGGCCCCGCACCTGCTGGGGACAGAGTACTCCGGGGCTTCTCTCTGGCTTCTCTCTTCTCTCTGCATTCATATTATGTAATATTAAATATGATTTTCGTATTATTTAATGTACAAATACAAAATAAGCCTTGAAAAATTGTTGGCGCCCGCCACGCTCTTCTGAAAACATGAATGTGCTACTGGCCACAAAAAGGTTGGGGACCACTGCCTTAGAGGAACAACTGAGCCAAGTTGTTAAGCTAAACTTGGAATCTTTCTGTGCACTCATTGGTTGAGCATCTAATTTCAGATCTACCCCAAGCAAGCTTGCCACCCAGAATTTCTTAGTTGACTCCCCTTCTCAGGGAAAATTCTAGAATCTGCATTCTGTGAGCTTCCCTGACAACTGACATGTGACCCACATAAAATTGCCTGGCACGGGCCTAATATACCTCAGACTTGCACCAGTATTTTTATTAGGCCTGTTAATTAATCGCAGTTAATGCCTGCAATTAACGGAGAGCAAAATTAACACATTTAACATGTAAATCCCATACCTCGGGGTGGGGAGGGAGGCTGAACCTGCAGCTCCCCAGGCAGCCAGGAAATGGGGGGTGGCGAGGGGGGCACTGAAGCCGGGAGCCCAGAGCTCCGTGGGCGACAGGTAGGGTTGCCAACCCTCCAGGATTGGGCTGGACTCTCTAGGAATTAAAAATTAATGTTTAATTAAAGATTTTGTCACCTGAAGAAACCTCCAGGAATACATGCAACCAAAATTGGCAACCCTAGTGGCTGGAGGAGCCAGGGCGGAGGGGACTGGAGCCCCGAGCCTCCTATGGCTGAAGATAGGGGGTCACAATTTTTTTAAGTCCGAATGGGATCACCAGCACAAAAAGTTTGAGAAACACGACCATAGAGAACAGGGGCCTGGCAAGATCAGCCTCCCTGCACCAGTCTCTCCTCCCCTGCTGCATCCTCTCTTGCAAACAAAGGCTCACTCAACTGAAGGGGGTTATGTAAAAATAATAATTCTACTTTTGTAAGTTCAACTTTCATGATATAGATTGCACTACAGTACTTCTATGAGATAAATTGAAAAATACTATTTCTTCTGTTTATCTTTACAGTGCAAATATTTGTTATAAAATAATATAAAGTGAGCACTGTGTATTTTGTGGTGTAATTGAAATAAATATATTTGAAAATATAGAAAACATCCAAAATATTTAAATAAATGGTATTCTGTTTAACAATCTGATTAAAATGACAATTAATCACAATTAATTTTTTTAATCTCTTGACAGCCTTAATTTTTATTTCTACTCTTACAGCAGGGCTTGCTTGTCCTAATACATACAAATGATTCACAATAAGATCAGCTTTTGTTAGTTCCTGTTGCAATGCTTGCTATTGTAAATGCTATGAGAACATGAGAATCAAGGCTAGGGTTGCCAGTGCTGTATTTCAAAAATAAGGGACTGTTTTCTTAGTACCCTCTCCCCACTCCTCCTCCTGATATTTATTTATTTTATTAATAAGCGGTACTCATCTACATTCAGCAGGGGTATTACTTCCTGCTTTTTGCAGCACTAAGTAACTCCCAATCTTGTTGTACAGAGATTAAAAAAATAAGGACATCCCTTGTAATAAGGGACTTCTGGCAACTGTACAATCAACATATTGGTAGTTTTGTGTAAATCAAAGTTGGCAGAATCTCTTTGGAGAGGCCAAATTCTCCTTTTTTGTAGTATCCATCTTGAGTTTTTAGTGTGTCACTAGAGTCCGTGTTTGAACTGAGAATCATATCTCTGCCTTTCAGTATCTGAGTGCACAATTCTTAAAATATAACGTAGGTCAAGATTTTCAAAGGTAGGCCCCTAAGTCCATCTTAGGTACCAAACTAAGTGGCCTGATTTTCAGAAGTGCTGAGCTCCCAGCAGCTCCCACCGGAATTTTGAAAATCTTCACCTCATCGTCTAAATTTTGCTCTCAGAGCGTGTGTGCATGCATGCACTTGTGCACTCAAACAGCATTAAAGTTTAAACCTAGTCATTTTGTTAGCTGTAAAATGACCTCCCATTTATTAAGATACCTTAGCAATAGGCACTTAGAGCAAATAATCACCGTAGTTTTATTATTGCAGATACGCATAATTATTGCTACTATATGTAGCAATTTTTACATTACTTGTCACAGAACTAGTCAAGCGATCCCTCTTGGCCACTCCCCAAACCAATGGATCCTATGTGGTTTAAGCCTCTGGGGTCTGAACAGAGTCCAGGCATGGCAGCACACACTCAGGGAGCAGACCCTCTGTCCAGCAGCACTCCCTCAGAGCTGAGACCATGTGGTCAAACTGCACAGCACTTGAGACGAGTGCTGGCCCCTCAGACTTCTCCCATATCTTAAACACATCCTCTCCCAGAACTCCAGCCATGTGGGTTTTCTGGGTCCACAGGTTAATCGTTCAAGAGCATGAGATAGGTGTAGCATGTAAAATACAGGCAGACTTGGCACAGGATTCTAAATCACCGTTGTTCTTTACTCAATAGATAAAGCACAGAGTGCAGCTGAGGCAGAAAACAACCTCCCTTCTCAAGGCTGTGCCCCTCACTCTAGCTCTCTCTTCCCTTGGTAGTCCTTGGGGGGACAGTTGGAGTTCAAGTGTGGAGGATTCCCTCTGCCTCATCAGATTCCTACCACATCTATCCTCTGCTTGAGCTCGTAGAAGTGGCTGAAGATCCCAAACAGAGTAGCTCTTGCCCTTTTTATAACCTTCCAATCTCCTTTGCCAGGAGACTCTCTGTTAAACCTCCTCAAGAGATCAGACCCCTACTATGTAACTTCATGGGGAGATGACCTCTCCCCCAACAAACCAGTTTTCCTAAGCGGGAGCTGGCATATTCTATAGGATGTTTTGTATTTGTAAAGAGGACTGTCCTGATTTAATGATATTGTTTTCAGCCCTTTATCACTACTGCTTGAAATCGCAGTCCAACATTGAGGTAAAGAGACAACAGAGAAGGCAACTAGCTCTCACATTCAAATTGGAGTTTGCAGTCTGATAAAGATACATACAGAGTTCATGATCTTAAACAGCATTCATAAGTTGTATAGAGTCTCTTTTTTCTTTTTCTTTTTTTTTGTTATCCAAAACTTAACTATAAGAACATGTATTCTGCCATTCAGAATGGACCTTTATGCTAGGACAATTCAATAAACAAAGATCTTTCTGTCTTGGTATATTTCAGAACTGGAGTCACCCTTTAGCTTTGTAGGTCAAGTTTAAATTGAGATTGCTCTTCTCCACTCAGATCCTAGTAGACGTCTCCTAGTTGTTTTTATTATTGGAAGTCTCGGATTTTAGGTTTTGTGATGATGACTGCATTAGAAATGCATAGATAGATAGATAGATAGATAGATTAAACCCATGAAATACACATTACAAAATCTATTTAAACTTCCTCTCCATTTTTGAGTCCATCACCCCTATCTTACCTGTATGTTATATTTGTCAATAAAAGCAACACCAAACAGAAAACTGATCTAAAACCAAACTCCCACAGACTAAACTTATCGCTGACTGAAAGCCACTGCTGTTCTGTTCAGGAAAAAATTAGAATGCCGCATTTTGTGTGTCCAGATAATTATGTGAACCCATCATGGAGCCAAGTGACCTTTTCCCCCCTCTAGATAAGTAAGTATAGTCATAGTCATCCCATTTTCTCTGCAACAAAAACACATCAGCTTTTAACCCCCCCCCCAAATGTCACCTCTTACCAATGAGCATTACTAAGAAAATGGTGACCCACAAATGGCATGTTAATTGGGTCAATTACCAAACCCTAATTATTGCTGAAAAGGCTTGGAAATTAGTTAGCATTATTGCATTATATTACTATGCCAGTAAGGGTGGCCCTTTCCTTTACTGTTGGAATCAAGGCAGGGGAAACCAGCATTGCAGGTGCCGGTGTGATATTTCTGGACTTCAGTTACAGTTGCTGACAGATCTTTGTGGTTTATAGAATGACTCCCTACCCCAATCCAAAATTAAACATTAAAGGATTATTATGCTGGTTTAGATCCCTATAGCTGACACAATTTCAAATCCTTTTTTATGAATTACTGTGTATTTTTTTGCAAACAGAAACATCTGCATACTGTGAAGAAGCAGAGGAAGATTAGTTTATTTGAGAAGATCCAGCAAGGCACTATTACAAAAACGAAAAAGGAAAAAAAATATACTGTTACATATGACTGCCCTGATATGGACTGATAAGGAAAGCAGAGGCCACAGTGCGTGCACCAGTACTGATTAGTGTTGTGCTTCACTGATATGGGGAGTGACCTGAATTGGAAAACATTTGGATTTTCCATGAAAAATAATACCCAGTCTTTTAAAACTAATAGAAAGAGTCTGTACTTTATAGACTGGAATCTAATGCAGAGGTGAGCTAGTTACAAGACAGAACCAGGAAAATCTATGGTCATGGGCAGGCTCATATTTGCTTTCCAAATAAAGCAAAGCCAAGTGGGAGTGTTTGTTTTGTCTCTGGGGGTTTGCACTGCCATTGTTGGATGGAAGGGATGCCTACTTACCTCACAGTGGTAGTTCTGCATAATGGCAGTCCCACATTTCCATTGCATTCAGTGCAAAGAGAACAAATGTGATAGTTCTGTCATGAGAAGGTATCCGTGAGTAAGAAATTTCAGTGTGGGATAGGATGTGGAATTCAATCTTGCTGGATGGACCACCCTGGGATAGACAGATTGCAGTCAGTTGAAACAATGTTGGTGGCAATGCTGACTCTCTGCTCTGTTTGTAAATTCAGATATGCCTGAGATTAGGCCTGTTTCAAGCTGTCTCTTTCATGGCCATACCCATTCCTCTGATCCCAATCATTAAGAGATTAGGTTTCTTGAAATATCAGCATTGTCGGCCCCCGGGCTGAAGCAAACCACTTAGCCTACAGATACAGGAATTCTTGAATAGCTTTTCAGTGCTTAAAAAAATGCTGTTTCTAAGATGTACAATTTATACTGCAGAATAGCCTTTCACCTGCAGAGTGCTGGTAAATGCTTTTTTGTACTGTGGTCAAGGGCATGCACCGATAAGTTGGTAAAAAAGGAACCTTGACAGTAGGTGTGTTTTCCCGCCCCCTCCTGTCCCAGTCAGTGAATACAATACAATTAGGAATATGCATCACAGAATTATAGTGCAGATTTCTCAGGCTTTCAGTAATGAACTGGTTTGTTCGTTCTTTTGGCAGGACTGAAGATTGAGACATTTCTATCTTTTCATCTAGGCTTTTGTTGTAGTTGTTTATGGCTTCACTTTTTGCAGTAAGAATACTGTTGTGTTTCCCATTTCTAAGGTTGCTGTCACTCACCAGGCAAGACAAGGAGCAGATAGGTGATTTTCTAGATCCTGAAGAAACCTGAATGTGATTTGAATACAAAGAACACTTGTCCAATGCTTACTACGCCATGATACATTAAAAATACCTGATGCCTGGGGGGTGGAGGGAAAGGGGAGGAGGAAGAGGGAAAGGGAGATCTCTTGTAGGGTGTGATTTGATGATGTTGACACTGCACCTTTCTGAAAGGAGTACTTGTGTAAATAACACACACACTGGCACCCACGAGGTGAGATTAGTGATGTTGTAGTAAATGGGGTTGGGCCAATGGTCTGGGTAGAAATGGAAACAAGCTGGGCCATCTGCTTTTGTTTGCTGGACCCAAAGATTGCTAATTTGGATTTGCAAGCTTTGAGGCCCAATTCCTGGACCGTGGGAGAGGACTGGCATGCCAGATGTCTCTTCATGCAGCTGGTCTAGAGCTCCTTGTTAATGAAGCTTGGGTTTAGGTTCACCACCTTTTATGGCCAAAATAGAATCTAGATCCAAACATTTTTGCATCCAAGTGACAAATATTCATAACTAATCCTTCCTATGGGCCAACAAAATTTGTGCAACTGATTTCTGTTGCATAGAAACAACGTCTAGTAGTTTTTTTTTCAGATTGTACAGTCTATTTGCTAATGTATGTCTGGTTACACTTGTGTGTGTGGGGTTGTAATATCTTGCTGGTTTTTAATGAAGAACAGTAATATGAACAAATACTTGTCTTTTTTGTAGATCTAGCTCATGAGCAAAATTCTAACGTACTCTAAATGTGAATAAACACACGTTTTTGTTTTATCTTCAGGATCTATACTAATCTAAAAGAGAGCATAAGAATATTCTCTACTCTGAGGAAATTATAACCTAAGCCAGTGTATACCTGTCTCTTTTGAATCTCGTTTGAATGCTTCTGAGGGTTCCTCTGTAAATAAAGGTAGAAAGTGTATAAAGATAATTATCCTTTTTTTTTCCCCTGGTGTTTTTATTTTCACCTTTTTATTTTACTTTTTCTGGGACTGGTCAGTAAAAATTGTAGGCCTGAGCTCTTCTCCTTTTACACCCATTTGAATTTGAAGCAACTCTATTAGCTTCATTGTAATTACTCCAGATTTGAACGTTTGCAACTGATGGCATGTCTACATACATGAGCACCTACTCCACTGCAAACTGGTGTGTAACTCTACAGCGTGGACCCTGTTGCTGCAAACTAAAAGTTCGCTAGTGCACTTCAATGTACTGCGATTTCAAACAGCTGAACGTCAAAGCTTGCAGTGGAACGTTAAGTGTACATCAGCAGGATCCACACAGACAGATAGCGTGTGGCGTGCTGTAGATTTATTTACATGCCAGCTTGCTGCTCAGTAAGTGCTCATGTAAACTGCGGCCCATAGTCATGCAAAATTATGGTGAAGATTAAAGAGAAAAGGATTAGATAAATTTGCCTGCTGCTAAAATATCTCAAACTTTCAATACGTGAGAATTTACTGTTGAAAAAATTTCCTTTTCAGCTGTAGATTCTCCAGCATAATTTAGTTTAATAAGTTTTAAGGCAGCTGTGATTGCCTTCCTTTCCCTGCAGCTGTTCACTTTTTCTTTACAGGAGAGTTATAATTGGACTGGCTGAAGCAGTTGGTCTAGACATTGTTAGTTTAATTCAAGGGAAATCTGAACACTGATCTTTCAGTTTAACCATAGACATATGCATGTATGTATTTGATAGAAGCATTTATAAGGTGCTCTCATGTGGTATCCTGTATATAACCAAATAAGAAAACAAGATTGGTTTTGCAGAGAGATTGCGCCAAACACAATTATCTAAAATTCCAGCTCCATAAATAGTTTGCTTCCTGCTGTTCTTGGAGGCCACTCAGCAGCTGAACCAAGCACTGTATGAACCAGATCAAAGCAGTTTACATTTTTGCACTTTAAAAAACACTATTTAATTTTACAAGTAGACTGAAAGTTAAGCAGGCACTAGAAGTAATTATTTCCAAACCTTATAGTCTAATCTGAATCCTTAAATCAAGGAATAATTTTTTATCAGTTCTCTGAACCATCTCATAAATTAGGAGGATATGCCTTTGCACATTATTGGTAGGGGCCATTGATGTGAGTTGTCTCTGGGCTTGATTATAATAAGGACTTTGTCAGTCTTCAAATGTTTACTTTGCATGTGTGTGCATGCACATGGAAAAAAAATCACAGAACAACCAAGCTAACTCAGGGGAAAAATGAGGATAAAATTTAGTAAATGTGGTGTTAACACTATTGCCATGCTTACTTAAGATTATGTATTGGTGTATGTGTATAATACAATGGCCTGAATATCATGACAATGTAAGTTAATAATCAGCAGGAGAGTTACTCCTAATTTGCAGTGCTGTAATTGAGATCTGACTGTGTGTGTGTGTGTGTGTGTTAGGGTTGCCAACTTTATAATTGCACAAAACTGAACACCCTTGCCCCGCCTCTTGTTCAAGGCCCTACTCCCTCCATCCCCCCCCCCCGTCTGTTGCTTGCTCTCCCTCACTCTCACTCGCATTAATTGGGCTGGGGCAGAGGGTTGGGGTGTGGGAGAGGGTGAAGGCTCTGACTTGGGGTGCGGGCTCCGGGGTGGGGCCAGAAATGAGGGGTTCAGGGTGCGGGAGGGGGCTCTGAGCTGGAAGTGAGGGGTTTGGAGTGCGGGAGCAGAATCAGGGCTGGGGCAGGGGGTTGGGGTATGGGCAGGGGTCTGGCGTGGGGCAGATGAGGGGGTTGGGGTGTGGGAGGGGGCTCAGGGCTGGCGTGCAGGCTGTGGGAGGGAGTTAGAGTGTGGGAGGGGGTTTGTGACCTGGGTTCAGGTGTGGGAGGGGATGAGGGGTGCGGGCTTACCTCAGCCCTGCTGCACTGCCGACCGGGAGCTGCCTAAGGCAGGCTCCCTGTGGCTCCCAGAAGCAGCTGTCTTGTCCGGCTCCCAGGTGCAAGGGCGGCTAGATGGTTCTGCATGGTGGGTGCCCACAGGCGCTGCCCCCGCAGCTCCCATTGTCCGCGGTTCCTGGCCAATGAGAGCTGTGGAGCCGGCGCTCGGGACGGGGGCAGTGCGTGCAGCTTCCCTGACTGCTCCTATGCCTAGGGGCCGCAGAGACTTGCCAGCTGCTTCCAAGAGCCGGGGCAGGCCTTAACCACGCTGTACTGCTGACCGGACTTGTACCAGCCAGGTCAGCTGTGTGTGTGCGTGTGTATTGACAATATATAAAATAATACACTTCAGAAGAATTTGTATGCCTCTGGCACTTTGCCAGTAACACCCAAATAATTTGAAACTACATTGGCCTTAAAAACTTCTCCATAGAGTATTGATTGTTCAAGTGTATAATGGATACTTTCAACTGGAACATGAAAGTATATATCACGATTAAAACACAGACCAGTAGATGAGCCAAATTTGGTGGAAGTGCCTGAGATAAATGGCTGCTATAGCTATTGGTATAAACTTAGCACTAGCCAAAATTATTTTCAAGGGCCCTAATTACATCTCTTTTAATTTAGGATGTAAAATGCAGGATACTTTTTTATATATACATTTAATTTATGGTTAATCTACTGATTGCAATATCTTTCCAGTAGGAACAATGTAGTTAGGGCAGGATAATTGGAAACTTCCTCTTAGATTTTGCAGCCATGCTATCCACAATTATATGGTTAAATATACACGCTGCACTACAAATATACATATAAGTGTTAGTGGTTGTACACAAAAAGTCTGATTTAGAAGCTATTTTATAGAATCTACATTAACACTCTATACAGTGCAACAGAGGGTCCTGCGTCTGACGAAGTGGGCATTCACCCACGAAAGCTTATGCTCCAATACATCTGTTAGTCTTAAAGGTGCCACAGGATCCTCTGTTGCTTTTTACAGATCCAGACTAACTCAGCTACCCCTCTGATACTTGACTCTATACAATAACTCACTCATTTTAGATGTGTAAACGAGCAATCAAGGCTTAATATTTTTCCACACAAATTTTTCAATATTTTTTCTGAAACACACACAAAATATTTAAGTAGCTTGTTACTAGAAATGCTATATAGTAGGGTCAGCAATACGTAAGGAGCGAGATTTGAGCTACTCAAATGCTTTTGAAGGTAGTCTGCAACAAGCAAAATAAGGAAAAGAAACTTTGTGAACAATGCACACCTTGGGTCTGATTCTCCATTGTCTTGCATCTCATATAGTAAGTTATACCTGTGCAAAGTGAATGCAGAGCAGGTATAAAATTCTACCAAATCAAAATGCAAGGTGCAGTAGAGGATATAGCTGTTTATAAAAAGCACACAAGAGTAGAGTTTGGAAAATTTAAAGACACTATATAGATCAGCAGGTTCAAATTATATGGATCCCAGAGTTTTTAGAAAATTTAGCTAATGATTTTACCATACCACTGACCACTATATCTAAAAAGTTGTGGAATACTGGGCACTACTAAAGGATTGTGAGGGAAAAAAGCAAATCTGGTCCTAATCTTAATAAAAATCTGACAATTTTCTGTTTCTCAATTTGAATCACTAATATTAAAAGACAAAAAATCTTGTCTGAATATAGATAATAGAATGATGAGCAATAAACAACATAGATGTTATAAGGACCACATCATGCCAGACAAACTGGTTTGCCATTTTGATGGAATTACAAAATAGCTGAATGGAATTCAGTCAATGTAATAACTTGGTTTTTGTAAAGTATTTGATATTTTGACTCATGAAATCTTATCCATATTGGTTTGTATATGAGAACTGGCACATTGATTTAAATTTAAAAACTGGCCGTGGGAGCAGCAACAAAAGTAATAGATAAGAGCAGCATATTGAGCTAGGGAAAAGTGTCTAGGTGGGTACAAGGATTATTGTTAAGCTTGGTCTTATTTATGGTTTATTCATGTAGAAAAGAGATTACCCATTTTTTGTGCTCAACTAAATATTTTCCATGTAATTATCTGTTTTCATGTGTACACTGTAGTAAATACATCATATTGACAATATCAGAAGTTTAAATCTGCTGAGAATGAACATGAGATTTTTCATAAAAGTAGAGATTTTTTTCTCATCTTCTAGATCAAACCAGACGAGAAATTGTTTCCACACTGAATTTCATGCATTCCAGTTGCAAAGTCTGGCAAACTATTGAAAGACTGAGCAGAGAATCTAGTCTGAGCAAAAGGAAATACATAGTCACAGTAAATTCTATTGCATCCCAGCTGGTGGCCAATGGCAGAGCTCCTAATGTAGACAAAGTTTTCAGACATGCAGTTAAAAGGATGGATGCTGAGAGATAGCAGGGTCTGAGTGTAGACACGAACCTGATGGCTACTTTCGCTGATCAAGAGCTCAACCTGGCTATGTATCAACTGCAGCTACGTGTTTAGATAACATGTCTATACATCAGCAAGGCTCCTGGTCTGGATAACATCCACAATGAGTTTGTCTCTCACTTCAGACACATCACCAAAAGCTGGCTGCTTTGATTTGTGAATTGTTCTATCCAGGACTGCAATATCCCAAAAGCTTGATGCAGAGAAAATGTGGTAGCTTTTGATAGACCCAAACAGCTACCAAATGATTGCTCTGCTCTGTTACCAATAAGTAAGGCTGCGAGTCTGTCATGGAGGTCATGGATTCCGTGACTTTCTGGGACCTCCATGGCTTCTGCAGCGGCCGATGTCTCGGGCCTCCGCCCCCTCCTCCTCCAGCAGCACCAGCGGTCTTGGGCCGCCGCCTCCCCTAGCAACATCGGGGTTCTCTGGCCGCTATGTTTCCCCTGCCCCCCGCAGGATCGGTGGTCCTGGGTTGCACACCGCCGCCCGCCACCACCACCCCCAGCAGCAGAGGGCCCGGGCCGCACGCCACCATACCCCGCCACCCCCCTAGCACCTGTGGTGCCTCCCGGGCTGCCCCATTCCAGAGCACCCAAGATTTAGTTAGGGGTATATAGTACAAGTCATGGACAGGTCACAGGCCATGAGTTTTTGTTTACTGACCATGACCTGTCCATGACTTTTACTAAAAATACCCATGACTAAAATGTAAACTTACCGATAAGCTATGCAAAGACTAATCCTGATGGGGATTAATGATGTTGTTGAAACTTCCACTGCCTCATGTTCAGGCTGGATGCAGGGGACAATGCACCCAAAATCAACTACATCCTCTGACTCAGGGCATAGAAGATGCATTTGAATCAGGAAAGAAAGTTGGTGCAGTTCTTATTGACCTGATGGCAGCCTACAACACTGCCAACATGCTGCAAGTTATTCCTTGTAGGCCAATGGTGCAGTTCATCCAAGTGGGTTCCCCCAGTGCTGTGCATATTCATAACATATTCATAAATGATCTGGAAAAAGGGGTAAATAGGGAGGTGTCAAAGTTTGCAGACAATACAAAATTGTTCAAGATCGTTAAGTCCACCGCAAATTACGAAGCGTTACAAAAGGATCTCACAAAATTGTGTACCTGGCCACTACAATGGCAGATGAAATTCAATGTTGATAAATGCAAGTAATGCACATTGGAAAACATAATCCCAACTCTACATACAAAATGATTAGGTAGATTCTTGGAGGATAGGTCCATCAATGGCTATTAGACCAGATGATCAGGGACACAACACCGTGCACTGGGTGTCCCTAAACCTCTGAGTGTCAGAAGCTGGGACTGGGCGACAGGGGATGGATCACTCGATATTGCCCTATTCTGTTAATTCCCTCTGAAGCATCTGGCACTAGCCATTGTCGGAAGACAGGATACTGGGCTAGATGGACCGTTGGTCTGATCCAGTATGGCCATTCTTAAATTCTTAAGAAATTATTAGCAACCAAAGCTTCATTCCTCAAAGATAGAAAATCAATCATTTTAAACATCTCCATAATGGCCTTCCCAAGGGTCAATGTTACTCCCCTTTAGTTCACTATATGCGCATATGACAGTCCTGAAATGCGGGCTGGGAAGTCTGCATATGCTGATAATTTCTGTGTTGCTGACACTGAAATTGACTAACTTCCACAGGATCTAAAGGAATCTTAGACAAGACACAGATATTTTGACACCGATACTTCCAGGAATGGAGATGAATTCTCATACCAAGACAATGGCACCTACTTTCCATCTAAACAATTGTCTTGCCTTCTCAATACAGGTCCAAGGATGGCTATTGCTATTCCATCCAGCTGTCACATACTTGGGGTAAAATTCAACCATAGTCTGACATAGTGGCCTCGCGTGGAAAATGAAAGTTTCTACCTGGACTCCCTTGATATGAAAACTGTTGGGAACCCCTGAGAGGCAGACTCTTCAGGCCTTCATACATCTGTATTGGCCCTGGTGTGTTGCTTCAGCTGAATACTGCTCTCAGGGTGCAGCCATCCTACTCAGCCTGTTGATACAGAGCTGAATTTGGCCATTCGTAATATTAGTGGCGGCTCGAGCTATACTCCAACCTACGGTCTGTATGTGCTAGCGTGCGTAGCTCCGCCAGACCTTTCACGAGATGCCATTGCTGTTAAGTCTGCCTGGAGAACTGTGATAGGTGAAAGCAACCTGTTACATCTCCACTTGACTTATGCCCCCTTCTCAGACAGGGAACAATATACTGTGCCAGCTTGAAGGCTTGCTTGTATTCAGGGAAGAATGAGGGTGACGGGCAGGGGGGTGTTGCCTGCAGGCGAGAGCGGTGTGTGGAGCCTCCTCTCCCTCCCCTTCCCCCCACCTAGGACCAGGACCTGCTGGTTGCTTTTCAGGGGTGCGCACAGCGTGGTGCCAGGACATGCAAGCAGCCTGCCTTAGCCTCGCTGCGCTGCTCACCAGAAGCCGCCCAAGGTAAGCCCATGCCCCAACCCCCTTCCCTAGCTCTGAGCCCCCCACAAATCTGGAGCAACCTTCTCCACCCCAAACCCCTCATCCCCGGCCATGCACCCCAACTCCCTGCCCCGGCCCGGAGCCCCCTCCCACACCTGAACCCCTCATTTCTGGCCCCATCCTGAGCCCACACCCCCAGTTAAAGTCCGCACCCCTGCTCCAGCCCAGTGAAAGGGAGTGAGGGTGAGGGAGAGCGAGCCACAAAGGGAGGGGGGAATGTAGTGGACTGGGGGCGGGGCCTCGGGGGAAGAGGCGGGTCTGGGTGTTCAGTTTTGTGCGACTAGAAAGTTGGCAACCCTAGGAAGAATCCCACTTCTGTGGACTGGGGTGTGACATTATGGCTAATTCTTCAACACCCCTTTCCTATGGCAGCTGCTGCATGCTTGTATGAGAGCACTGGTGGCCCTTTACCATACATCAGTGCCACCAGTGAGCCGAAAATCACATCCTAACAGAGTGGAAGTATTAGTGGGGAAAGAGTCTAATGCACTAAATAAATTCGGAGCCTACCCTGCACCCACCTCCTTTTTCACTTGGATCAGGCTCAACAGGCTACTCTCTGGCATGACCAGATTGTCACAGCCATGTACTGGTGTGGTCTGGTTTCCGTCTCACGCTGTGACTGGTGCAGCATTGCAGACGTTAACTCATGGAACAGTGCCCAATCCAACATTTGGAGGGCTGTCTACAGTGCCTAGTACAGAGGCCGTTCTCTGGTTATGGAACCTGGGCTTTGAGCTGAGACATCTGCATATGAGAGAGAGGCTTGGATATATCACTGTGTTCCTCACTCTGCTCTGCAGGGATTATATTCTGATGGCTAGAGTGGGGATTTGTGGAGGGGAGTGGCTGCATCAGCCATTCCACTTGTCCCACGTAAGGGGGAGTGGAGGAGGAATATAGCAGCCATGGAAACTAAAGCAGCCTCTGGGGAGGATTTCTTTTACACCCCAGATTTTGAATTCAACTCCTTAGTGCTTTGAGGCCTGATCCTGCACCGTTATGAGATCATAATGAGAGCTTTAACTTGATTTCAATAGATGCAGGATTAAGCTCTTGAGGAGAGTTTGGCCTGTTTTGTGGGTATAAATTAGTTGAAAATATTATCCTTTGTCTTTAAAGTCATCTGTTCGTTTTATTGCTAAGCCCAAGTTTTACTAATGGAAAGCCAGGACAGCATTGGAAGAGTGAACTTTATTTCATTTGCTTTCATGAATCACGAGCAAAACTACCAGCTAAATTCTGATACCAGTGATCTACTCTCAAAGATCTTTTTGTTACGGCAGAGTCTGGCAAGTGCCACTTGGAGTATTACCAACCTCAAGTATTAAAACATCCTAAAACAGGCCCCCCAAAATCATGATTGATTTAAAAACCAAGATATTTAAAAAAATAATAAATGTGAGGTCTTTTTATTTCCCTTTTTATGTTTGAGATTTTAGGACTTACTTTTTCCAGGTTTTCTCCACAGCCATGAGAGCTAACACTTATTTTTTTTAATAAAAGCTGAGAGTCTAATGTAAACATATTACATGACCCCTAGAGTTGGGACTTTAAGAAAAACACTAAATAACATGAGACTCATAATAAAATCATGAGAGTTGGCAACATTGCTCCATGACGGATTTAATGGTAAAACATTTCTTTTTTAATGTGGCATTAAAAATGGAAGTTGACCAGATCAGATACTGAACATAGACCTTTATTTTTTTGCTCTGAATGTAGTGAAATTTTACATACACTCTGTTTTTAGTAACTCATAGAGATTCGGCGTATTGGAGGTTTGTTCCATTTTGGGAAAAGTGTTTTGGGAATATGAGGGGGCCAGTGACGATGGAGAACGGAATTAGAATCATTTAGCGACTGCAACTCTCTTAAATCCTTGATTTAAAACCAAAGAACTCCTAAAAGCAGCCTGTCCCAGCAGCAATGAAAGGGGTGGGGGAAGCAACAGCTATCCCAGGCTGTCACTGGCCTTTTCTTCCTCTGATACACAAATCCAGAGCAAATCCAATTCAACCAAAAGTTGTACTAGTACTAAAGCATATTAAGGCCATAAGGCTGTGAAGCTTACTGCATAAGTCAATATGAGAACCCCATGAGAGCTCAGGCATCCCTGTCAATTCAGACCCTTCTTGCCCATAAGGAAGGCTGATGCCTAATTTGTGGGAAAACTGAGCATTACCCCAACTCCTGACCTCTGCAGGAATGATATTCCCTGTTAATGCTACCCCTCTGAGATAAATTTAATACTTGCTACTGGGATCAGCCTCCTGAAGTTGTAAGCCCGTGAATTTAACATAATTCAGGTGCATCGCAAAATGAAGATTATTGTCCAATAGGCTGAGTCCATGCCATGCAAATCTGTACAAAATTTAGATGTATCCTCCCCTTGGCTGTTAAACTGTGACTCCCTGACCTGACAGCACACAACCCTATGCAGGTAGTGACAGTAAATTGACACTGTGTAGCCAATAAGCGAAAGGAGAGGGGAAATTGGGATTTTGCAGTGACAGGTGGAGCTGGAAGAGACCAGCTTCTGCCCTGTGCCACCTTTTTTGGGCATCTGGCCAGTCTTGGTGCCTGTCAGAAGCTCTGGGATGGACCAGAGCTGCAACTCTCCTAAGGGACCAGCAGAAGCCATGCTGCTGCTTTGGAGCTATGACCTCCCTGCAGGCTCCCACCCAACAATCCGGAGCCAGTGGTGATGGTCATCTCCCCTTAAGGTGCTAGATCTGGAGTTTGGTTAAGGACTTTGTGTGTGTTTCATGCAAAGGTTGAGAGGTTATGAATTGTGTGTGGTAGAAAATACTTGATATTTCTCCTTCCACAGAGTTAACCATACCTGCCCTGTGTATGTGTATTCTCATCTTTCTCCTGCCCACTTGTTCAGAGTGGGATGGAAGGTGCTTTTTCATAATATTTTGCTTTCAAATAACTTAAAGCTAAGTAACCTGAAGTGTTTAGATGACATTCTGTTTGCTCTTTGCTTCAAGTGTAAATGTTGCAGAATGATTGCCTCCCTATAAACACCATTTTAATGCCCTTTAGTCTCCTCTTTCCAATAAAAAAGTGTTCCACCCACCTACAATGCATCATCCAGTCCCACACTCCAAAGAAAATGCTCAAATGCTCCTTAGAGTTGGGATTGTGTGGGGGAGGTGGTGGTGGGGTATGTGTGTGGAGTGTGACACACTGAGTACTGGCAGGGCTATGAAGAATGATGAGCACTGTCATCCATTGCACTCTATGGTCATTTCCAGGTAAGGTTCAAATTGAAGCCATATTACTTTTAGTCATGGAGTCTCCTCATGTAGTTTTTCCCCCCTCAATCACCTCCTATCATGGGTTTTTACCATAGAAGAGGGTGATATGGCCCAAGATCTGACATTGTTTCCAAACAAGCTGTGTTTAGCTAAATCTGTTTAAATACACCAATAGTAAGTTACAAAACAATCCCCCCCAAACATAATGTTATCTGTATTGCAGTAGTGTGTAGGACAGTGGTCCCCAAACTTTTTTGTTTCCACCCCCATTTCTGGTCCCCCAGCCCACCCGGGAGCGGGGCTGCAGTAGGAGCCGGAGCCAGAGCTGTAGCTGGAAGTGGGGCCATTGTCGGGGCCGGGGTCAGGAGTGGAGCTGGTGGCAGAGCAGGGCTGGGTGGCACACTCTCCCTCCCCCTGTAGGGGTGGCCCAGACTGCGCTGAGTTCCCCCTCTCCTCCTGACTGTTTCTCCATGCCCCTCCAGGGTGTGTGTGCGCCCCACAGTTTGGGGACAACTCATGTAGGCATATGGTAAAAACACAGTCCCTGACCAAAAGAGTTTCACATTCCAATTGTCAGGTGCAGGAGTCCACTGGCTGACTTACTGAACTGTTTTTGGTGGTATGCTATGAATTTGCTGCATGTTTCCTCATTTAAGATGATTATTGGATTTTTTTTGGAACTTAAAAATTATTTGTTATTGCCTCCATGTTTCAGTGGGTCATATTTAGAAAAGATTCATACTGGTGCAGGAATACAGGAAGAAGCAGCTGTTATTGTGCTTGATCCCATTTTAGTGAAGAATCCATAAAGCGCAACCTGCTGTGACATTGGAATATTCTGTGGGAGTTCATTTTTGTATTTTGTTATGGTTTCATCTTGATTTATCTTGCTCTGCATCCTGTGATGTTATAACTTATTATATAGAGATACCAAACAGGGTTTTCTAGAAAAAGAGCAGATAATTGGTTTTACTTTGTTAATTTCTTTTTGGAGCTAGTCTGTAATCTAGTAAAATTCTCAATATTTTGATGTAATATTTTAATAATATTAAAATGTTTTGTGGTAAAAATGAGAACCGTTTCAAAATTCCAGATAAATGGTAGAACGCTAATTGGTCAGAACATTTTTTTTTTATATGTGAGTGTCTTGTGGTACTCTATCTCAAATTTCTACAGCTGCCTGTGCTGAAGACGGCTTGTTGATATTAATGATCTTCTGCAATATGGAATGTAAACAGAGCAATTAGCAATAAAAATATTCTAACTGCATAATATCAAAAATAGCCAATGTCCAGTGATAGTAATATGAAAAGGTTTCTACGCAGAAACCTTTGTGGTAATGTTACTGTGTGCCGGTGTTTTACTTTGATGTTTCTATATTTTGTGTGACTTATTTAACCCATGTTGGTGCTGAGATTTTAATTTGCAGGTCTGCAGCGGTGAAAAGCTACTCCTTTAATCTACTGCTGCGGTTATACTTCATCTCTTGTTTCTGCTTAATATCACATTTTGCTGATCCTGTCCCATTTCCTCTGCATCTGATACTGCCATCCACAAAACAGAGCAAGGTGGCCTCAGCTTCAGCTCTCAGTGTTGCTAGAGGGTTATGAATAATAATAAAAAAAAAAGAGAGAGAGAAAGGGAAGTTCTGGATCTGAACTACGCTGAGGGTGATCAGATGTAGGTTTAGCTGGGAATTTTTCTAATTTTTTTTCCCTCTTGAAAACACAGATTTGTCAAAGCTGAAATCTTTTATGGAAAATGTTTCTGTTTTGACAAACTTCTGCAAAACACAGGTAGGGTTTGATGGAACTGTGGCAAGGGTTCTCAGTGTCTCGGTTCCAGGTTCTGCAGCAGGGAGCACCAGTGAAGCCTGGCTTTCACGGCTTCTAGGCTTCCCACTCTGTCTGGAGACTCCTCAGGTAACTTCTGGAGTCAGGGCAGCCAGCTGCTCTGTTTCTTTTTGGAAAATCAAACCGAAATATATCAATATTTTGGAAACAATTTTTGGGGGGAATTTCTTTTTTGCAGGAACTTCTGAAATAAAAGCTTTCATTTTGAATTGGCCAGTTTTGACCAGCACTACTCAGATGTGGTGTTGATGGGGCTGGTCTAGAATTCAGATTCAGTTTTCAGGTTTTGGCCTAGCTCTAATTGCTACTATCTTTGTTTGTCTTGGACAGAATAACTGTGAGTAACAGCATGGTTAGCCTGGTTCTTGATATCACGTTTCCTTCTGTGCATTATTAGTATACTTCAGTGGTGCCCAACCTTATTACACAATAGGGCCACATAAACCTAAGCACAACCTTGTGTGGGCCAAACAAATTCTACCTATTTTAATAAGATTTAAAGTCACCTGTATTGATTTATATTTTAAGTTCAGCTTCTTTCATACATACTTAGATAGGTTGTTTCTATGTACAGCATTGTCTACTACTCGTGTAAACTAAAATGATGTAAACATGATGACAAAATGCTAATGAATCAGCCGTTAGTATATTGTGTTGAATCAGGCTGTGGGCCTTATGAAACATTCTGGTGGGCTGTGTGTGGTCCGTCGGTGGGGCACTCCGGTCATGAGTTGAGTCATGTTGTGATTGTTGCAATGTGACTCAGTGTCGCATTGTGAGCATGCAGTGCCTTTGGAGTTCACTAGTTGCCCTGTAAGCTTGTAGGATTTAAGAAAAATTGTTAATGGTCATAACTGTCCTGCACATTTTGGGAATCGTGAAAACGCAAGCATTCTGGTTTTAGTATTTATTTACATGGTGGTGATTATTTTTTGAAGGCTTGAGAATGGCTTTCCTACACATATTATCTTCCTCCCATTCACTGAAAATAATCTTAAATGGAACTGCTATTAGGGATGAGGGAACAGCTTTGACTCAAGAAAGGTCTGAGCCAGACCTTTTCACATTCCTTGATTTGAACCTGAACAGACTTGAGGTTTTAAAAAGCTTTTTTCACTTCTCCTGTGCATTTTTTTGCATTTTCTAGTTCCTATTTGAAGTAGAAGTACTACATGTTTTGATCTCAGTCTGTTCTCTCAAGATTTCCAACCCAATTTTTCAGACAATTAGGTTTGTACAGTTGTACAAACTTTCAGGTGTTCATCTAAAATAAATTTTGTAAACTTTGAGTTTCCTTGCTGTTTTTCAGAACAAATACCTAAATAGGTCACAAAAACCAAACAACTTATTATACCTAAAGTACAAAGAGCATTTCATATTCACTGATAAACAAAAATATTGCTCAGTGACCTACATAAGCAAAATGGTAGAAAGTATTTACTAACCAGTCAAAATAACATCCAACAAATGAAGCATATCTGTTTAGTTTTACGTGAAGATGAGAGAGCAAGGGCATAATTCCATAAGGTAGAGTCTTTCGACTAATGCAGCAGGGATTTATACTTCCGGTGCAAGATTTATTACTTAGATTTTTGTTTTTATATGTGCATTTTGTAAGTCCTTTCCTAAACCTATCTGACCAGTCTTCAAAGTGTGGGGTAGAATTTTGAACAAATGTTACATTTATTATAAAATTGTCCTCTCCACTTTTCTAATCATATTCTCAATTTATCCCATTCAGAATTTCTCATACATTTGGTCCCTCTGGCATTGAATAGTATAGGTAAGACATGCTGCAGCATTTACTTGCAGCAGCTATGTCAGTTCAGCTTGCTTATTACATAGATCTGTTCATTTCTTCTGTAGAAGCTCATTAATCCATCAGCATGACACAGTCCTCCCAATGAGGTTGTGCCAAGTGTTACAGTAGCACTCCAGCATGGTTTAGAAATCTGCATGTTGTTTATTTTTCCAGAGATTAAATAGGATCACTTCCCTATCATGTAGTATTTATGCCCTAGGGCAGTCAAATTGACTCCCACTAATATTTTTTTCTTTAAGGAAAATAAGTGCAGTAATTAAGGGACATTCAATATGTTGCTGAAACTTTATATATTGTATGAACCACTACTCTGTAATGCTTAAATATAAACCAGAAGAGTAATGGTGGGTAGGGTAGGATGGGATGAACAGGGATGAGTGGGGGAGGAGCTCAGTGTAGGACTCAGTGACATTTAAGGCTGAGCATTGGAGCTGTTGAAGAGTTATTGCTGCTTATGACTGTTTGGCCTGGCTGCATATCAGAGCCATTAACCTCTGAATAACATAGCCCTAAAGAGAATGTACTCTTTTAGAAAACTCCTCATTAATTAAATTTATGGAAGGGGAAAAAAAAGCTCAGGCCTTGGAGCATGGGGCTTCTATAGGTCCTGGAGATGCATAAAAATAGCCAGGAATGTTGTGCTTCTTGCAGAAACTAAACATCCGAGCTTTCCCTCTTGAGGGTCTCAGAGGCTTGCAACACTGGGGATGGAATTTGCTCAGTGCTGGCCTTGGCATCCAACTCTCCAATGTGGGGCTAAGTCTGCATGGCTTCAACTCCAGTTAACTGTGTCTTTCCAGCATAACGACGATTCCATTTGTCCGTAGACTTTTCTTCAATAAGTGGAAGTGTTTTTAAAAAAATGTATGCTTACCTGCAAACTTAAATCTCATACAGTGTACATTTTTGCCAGCATACATTCAGAAAATGACACATGCAGAGCATTTAATTTTTTTTTAAGCGAACTCTTGATTTGAGAACATCAAGCCTCATTTAAATGGTTACACTTGGTGCTGGTGGTTTTTCAGACAGCAGGGTATGAAATATAGGGGAAAATATGATCTGTCGCTGCAACATGCAATTTTGAAAACTACCCCATTAACCTAGGGACTTTCCCAACAGTAAGCAGCAATTTGGCTCAAGTCCCTTCAGCATCAACATTTTGCCATCACCTCCTTTCCCACATTTACAGAGCTATGGGAGACTTTGCCAGAGAAGTACAGTACAATGAAATGTACAAAGGATACATTAAAAAAAATCACTAACCTTCAATATTGTGGCTCTGATTCTGCAAATTAATTAATGATTTTTGCCTGCACAAAAAGTCTGAAGGATTAGGCCTTGTCTGAGTTACATTTATAAAAAAATAATTTTCTTTGCTTCCTTCATTCTCTCCTAGTTTCTTTTTTCCTCTCTCCATCCTTTTTGTCTGCTCTGTTTTCTTCTTCCTTCTTTTTCTCATGCCGAAGCTTTCCTGTTACCTTCATTAACATAGATTTTCATAATCAGCTTCCTGTTCTGCATTGTATTGTATTCCAGTTTTGTCTCTTGTGATCCCTCTTTCTCCTCTGTTTTTTCTCCCTGCTTCTGTTCTCTTTATTCTTTGTTTCTTCCTCTCCCTCCCAGCCAGAATGTCTGAGTTAAGTACCCTCCTCCCGACCTTTCCAAAATAGGTGCTGTAATCAGAAAGTACATGGAACACTTAACTAATTAGGAACTTCAGGTTCTTGATAGGGAGGGAATGATTAAGGATATAGACTTTGTATTTTGACTTCTAACTCCAGTGAATACAATTACAGGTAACCCCCCTTTTTAACGTATGCTACAAATGCACAAAATCCTAGGCTCCGAGGAATATCTACACACAGGAGAATCAGTATATTAGAGCAGTGTCATTTGCGCTGCTAGCTATAGTTATTATTGTGTTATTTCTAGTATAGACCCCTGCTTTTGAAGGTTTATAACTGTGCTATTAAAATTCATTGCAGACTGAAACTTGGCACACAAGGTCTGAGAGCCCAGAGCAAATTTTTAATTTTTGTTTAAAATATTTTTTAAGCTAAAGGAATGCAATAAAAACCATTACACTGGTGATTATAAATACTTTTATGTGTTACTACAATACAAAAAATACTTAATTTATTTTAAAATTCTGCATGGCATTAGTCCATGGCATTAGATGGCTTCAGGTATTCTGGAACAGAACAGTGAACACAACAGTTACTTTATTAGGGAAAAGCACTTAGGTGATCACACATTCTCAATATCGCTTAAAATCTGATTTTAGTAGGCTCTTTAGCACATTACTGTACCATAATGGAATAAAGTGAAACAAACAAACTTGTGCAACTCATTAAGCTTCACCACCACCACGTGTGACCATTTAAAAGATGCTGGATGTTTTCAAAGCAAGAATGGGCCTTAAAACATTTAAAATAAAATAACCAAAATGCTCTGCATGTGTCATTTTCTGAATGTATATTCATAAAAATGTATGGTATATCAGATTTAAATTGCAGTTATTTGCAGATAAAGAAACTTTAAAAAAATGCTTCTACTTATATACTGAATATTTCCGGCCACTGGGTACGGGACATAGAACTATTCAAATCCAGCCCAGCCCACTCCAGTAGTGACTTAATGTGGTACCATAGGATGGCAGATGGATGATCTATATGTATAGTAGTAATATATACAATCAGTTGATTCAATTATTATTTGAGGTTCAGACCCCTTGTCTTTATAGTTAAGAGGCAATTTCCCTGATTCGCCAGTTTGGTGACTTACATGACAGGCTGGTCAGACAAGCAAATACACATTCCTTTGTCTAGGTAAGACTGTGCTTATGCATTGCTTGCTGAACACATTTTAGGAACATAATTCTACCACATACTTATAAATCTTTGTAAACACCCCATACAGCCATCATGCAAGAATTTTAATGATCAGTAAGTTATTAGTTTTCCGATGAGATATTACATGCCATCCTTTGGGTATATTTCATGACAACAGTGTGTTAGGTGTAGTGAGTATGTCAGGTCTGACAAGAGTTGCTGAGAAGTGAAACACCAGTAGGTCTCTGTATCACAGAGGGCCATATCAAACTGGCAGACTGTGTGCCTCCTACAAATTACTACTTCCACAACAAAGTGGAATAAGACATTTTGACAGGGTTGTCTGTAGGTCTGCTTCAGTCAGTCAGCAGAGATAGAAAGAATGAAAAGAGAAGAATTTTCATGTATTTATCAGTTGGAGCGAAGAAGGAATTTTACTCTGTAGGAGTCAGTGGAGAGTGGACAGTGTTTCCAGGTCTGCAGCACTCAGCCATCAAGCTTCGTGAAGACTTGCTCTGTCACCAAACCCTCCTTCTTGTAGGTCTCTACTACATCTGATCTGGATAGGTAGACCAGGACTTTCATTGGGAATGTATATTATCACATTCTGGTGCAAAAGTGCCAGAATTTAGGCATTGAACCTGCAGTGTAGTGGAGAGTTTCTGATTTTGTCATATTTAAGTGAGGATTTGTTATCCATTTTGTGATAGCTGCCAGTCAGGGAGTAATTGTGAGTAAACAGCTGGATAGATTTCCTTCCTTTCCTTCTGAATTTTTATATCACACGATGTGCTCAAATGGCACAGTTAGGATTAGAAAATCATTGAGTGGAAGGAAGAGAAGATGAATTGGTGCTTTTAAAAAGACTTTAAACAAATTGTGTAAGAATGGGAATTAAGTCTCTTTCCTGTTCACTAATGGCTTTTGTTTTATAGCAGGTGTTCAAGGTATAATGCGGAACTTGTACTCTAGTATGAGCCAGGCCCTTCTTCCTCCTCTGACATAAAAATGCTAGTGAAATTTTAAACATTCTCTTTGCCGGCATACTGGTGTCTTTGGTGTCTGTGTATATATGTGTATCTGAGAGAGCAAGCTCTTGCTGACAGGAGATCCTATTTTTACATGTAACTTGAATTAAATTATTTCAGATGCAGACCATTTGGAATAAATGTTTACAGGAACTGGTTTAGATCATTTATAAACAGTAAAATTGAAATCTTGCTCTAGTAGAGTGGAGCATATTAAAATAAAAAATTGAACATGACTCCTCATGCTATTGTGTGTCAAAGAAGACTCCTGCCCTTCTGGCTCAGGTTTCCTGCCTTTTTTGAGAGGTTCTTCAGGAAATGACAAAGAGGACAAGAGGGATCTTTGACAATGAAATACATTCTTATTGTGAAGTTGAAATATAGCTATTTAGAGCTTTCTTGCTTGAGACCTCACATTTTATGGCATAGAAAGTTAAATGCAAGCAAAGAAACTTACTAAGTTTTACCAGAACTACTAGGCAAATGCTGTAACATCATGTGTTAAACCAAACAACCAACCCTATAACTTTATCTTTGCCCAGTCCACTGTTCACAGGAAGAGGAAGAGGCCTATGAGAATCATAGAAATGTAGGGCTGGAAGGGACTTTGAAAGGTCATCAAGTCCAGCTCCCAGCACTGAGGCAGGACCAAGGGAACCCAGACCATCCCTGACCTACGTTTGTCCAGCCTATTCTTAAAAACCTCCTATGATGGGGATTCTACAACCTTCCTTGGAAGCCTATTCCAGAACCTAAATACCCTCATAGTTAGAATAGGAATCCAATGGCATCTGGAGGTGCTGCTTAAAGATTACCATACATATTTAGCCCTTGCAGTCCACAACCGTAGATGATGTCAAGAAAACATTTTGGGCCATATCATGAAACTTCACAAGAGCCTTTAGCTCTGATGTATGGGAGGGTTTCTTTGTGGGTGTACATAACCAGGAAAACCCCTGACTGTGGAGGTGTGGTCTTGGAGTGGGAAGTTTAGAAAATGGAAGGCTTTGTCAAGAAGTTTGATGCATAAGCCACATCATCATCCGTACATTTGGCGGTGTTTCTCTGGCTTTTGAGAGCTTTAGGGGGTAAGAGTTCAAGAAGACATTGCTCTTTTTGCAGGAGGTTGTTCTGCCTAGTGTGCTTATAAATTCCAAGGCCAGAAAGGGCCACTCTGATCACTAAGTCTGACCTCCTGTAACACAGGCCATAGAACTTCCCCAAAATAAATCCTAGAGCATATATTTTAGAAAAACAACCAGTCTTGATTTAACAATTGTCAGTGATGAAGAATTTACTATGACTCTTGGTAAATTGTTCCAATGGTTAATTACTGACAGTTAAAAATGTATGCCTCATTTCCATTCTGAATTTGTCTACCTACAATTTCCAGCCATTGGATTGTGTTGTATCTTTTTCTGCTGTATTGAAGAGCCCATAATTAAATATTTGTTCCCCATGTAGATTCTTGTAGACTGTAATAGCTTAATGGCCATTTTAGGTATTGACCCAGTTACTCTAGCTCTTTTCCTAGTCTGGTCTGACTATTCTGTAGTCCTGACTAATTTCACTGTAAGGGGGCGGCGGGAAGCGGCGCAGGCAAGGGATGTGCTGGCCGCAGCTTCCCGCCACCCCCATTGGCCCGGGACGGCGAACCGCGGCCAGTGGGGGCCACGATCGGCCGAACCTGCCGCATCAGCAGGTAAATAAACTGGCCTGGCCCGCTAGGGTGCTTACCCTGGCGAGCCGCGTGCCAAACGTTTCCGACCCCTGGTGTATAGGCTTACAATTGGTTGTCACCAACGAAAATGATTACTTTTCAGTAAGAAGTCTGTCTTTCAGTGTTAGGCCAAGAAATGACAATTGCAATTAAGTTTAGACTGTTTTGGGGATGATAACCATTATCTACTGGATATCTTTGAATTGGTGATTTGTAACAGCTCCAACAGGTGGTGGGTGAGGAGACATAATTTAGAGGTTAAACGACAAGACTGGGAGGAGATCTGGAGTCTGATTGTGGGTCTGCATTTGGACTTGCTCATTTGGACATTTATGGACATTCTCCTTCTCTGGAAGTTGGCAAGAAGGTAGGGGAAAATACCCCCATTCTCCCCTTTTTTCCCTCTAAGGCCCAAGCTTTCTCCAGTTCCATATTAGAACTGGAAATACAATTTTCTTGAAATGATGTTAATACTTAAAGATAATGCTATGTACTCTCAGCCTTAAAGTGGTTTTCTTTTTTCTGGGTATGGACATAATTATACTTCCTACATAATAGGTACTGTGGAGCCTCATTCACTAATCTTTCTAAGATATTATAAAAGTACAAATAATTATATATTCATGAGAAAAATAATTTTCTATTGGGTTCAGAACCTCTGCAAAGTTTAGTCCAAAGTCAGTTTTGAGTAGTATTCTGACCACTGAAAGTATTTTCTCTGTGAATTAAGATACTGGTCAATTTTTAGTCATAGTGGCCATTATTAAGTAAAATTTTGGCAGGATTTCATATGACTTATAATGGCATTGATTGTACTAGCTGCTCTCAAATTGAAGCAATTCATACTTTTTTGCCCCTGTGTGTTGAATTTTCCTTATACTGCTTCGGTTTCCATGTCTGTTTCTCTTCCTTTTCTTAATTGGTCTTGGTTTTGGATTTTTAGACATTCACAATGACAACACCCAATGTAGTCACTTGATTCTGCCAACAAAACCAAAACAAGACAAAACTCAAAAAGATGTTCTCTTCAGTCTTCTAAACCAGTCTGGACTCTCTAGTT